AAGCTTTAGAATTTCCAGACAAATTAGAAGATTTAAAACAAATCCAAAAATTTTTAGAATTAGTAAATTATGTTAGACCATTTATAAAAGATTTGGGAAAGATAGCAGAACCTTTATATGCAAAGACATCTCTTACAGGACAAAAATTTTTTAACCATGAAGATATAAAATTAGTACAACAAATAAAAGAAAAAATAAAAACTTTACCAGAATTGGCTATGCCTTTAGATTCATAATATTTAATTATAGAAATAGATGGAAGTATGACAGGATGGGGAGCTATATTAATATGTAAACCCAATAAATATCCTGATAAAACTACAGAAAGAATTTGTAGGTATAATGGTGGAAATTATAAAGAAAAAGGAAATTTAAGTAGTATAGATGCAGAATTATTAGCTATAAATTATGCATTAGATAGTTTTGAACTATTTATTATATCTAAGAAAGAAATAACTATAAGAACAGACTGTGTAGCCATAGTTTCTTTTGTTAATAAAATGAAAATAGAAACAAAAAGAAGTAGTAGAAGAAGATGGTTAAACTTTATAGATAGAATTACAAATATAGGAATTAATATAGAATTTGAGCATATTAAAGGTAGTGATAATAAAGCGGCAGGTATACTAAGTAGAATAATAATAGATAGAAATTATTAAATTTGTTTAACATAATTTTCTTATACAGATGACAAGACCAAGGCCTATAAGACCAGGAATTCCACCTGGGAATTCATTTGCATCAAGTTCATTACCATAGACTCCATTTAATCAGAACAGACCAATGTTACAAGACAGACTAAGGTTTGGAAACCAAGAACTTATAGTTTTTCCCAATAGTAATATTTCTTTTAAAATTTTACCGCATATTTCTTTATCTAGAGAAGAAAAATGTATTTTAAATAATTTATGGATTTCATATAATAAGAATCCAAAAGATCAAAAATATTTTCTTGCATGCATGAATGTATTGGCGAGTGTATGCAAAGAAATTACAAAGTTATCAATGAAGCCAATCAGAACCTTTCACTAGAAAGAACCCAACTCCAAAAAAAAGTGACCCAATTAGAAAAAGAGATTTTGGATCTAAAAGTCCATTATCCAACAGGTACTATGGAGCCTAAGAAATCCATAGCTAGTCCAGTCCAAATTACTCTGATCCCCCATTAGACTTCTCTCCAAGTAAAGACCAGAATATTTTTTGCCAACACTGTGAGTGTATGCAAAGAAATTACAAAGTTATCAATGAAGCCAATCAGAACCTTTCACTAGAAAGAACCCAACTCCAAAAAAAAGTGGCCCAATTAGAAAAAGAGATTTTGGATCTAAAAGTCCATTATCCAACAGGTACTATGGAGCCTAAGAAATCCATAGCTAGTCCAGTCCAAACGGTAGCTGGTAAAGACTTATCAAATCCGTTGAAGGTTGTGGACTTACCAAAAGCCCAACAGACTCAGGGGACTGTTGATTCCTCTACTAAATTAGACAATCAGACTCAGCAGACTGATAAATCTGCTACAGAAAAAAGTAAAGAAATTTGGGATCTTTTAGGACAGCCCAGTGAAAAATTTGATTACTTAGTAAAATATAGTCCATCAGAACATTTTTCGCCAAAACATTTTTCAAATAACCTAGATTTTTTACAAGCCCAAGAAATTCAGTCCAGTAAGGGAAAAGAAAAAATGATAGCCCAAGACAGTCAAGAATGTTTATTTCAAGAATCACAAAACCCTAATCCAGATACTGTTTCTTTAGAAAAGATTTTTGAAAAAATTGAAGAATTTCAGAAGCAATCCAAAAAAGAAGAAGGAACTTCTTCCAGAAAAAAGAAAAAGATTAAGAAAAAAATGATGAAGGATTGAAAGAACAAATTAGAGAAGCAGTAAATCAAGCATTTGAGATAATTCTAAAAAAGAATCATGGAGAAGAAAAAGAAATTTCAGAATGTCCAAATCAAAAAGAGAAAGATGAAGCCAGTAATTCCAGACTTTCAGATGAAGACGAAGAACCACAGAACGAAGAATACAATAATTCAGACAGTGGGATGTCATTTTCATCAGTGGCACGCCACAATCTTGATACGTGATAAAGACCCTCAATAATGCATAACAAGACAAGTCTGAAAGAAGAAAAGAAGAAAAAATAGAAGACTTTTTATCATTATACTGTAGACTTTTTGAATAAATTTTCATTATTGTTGTATTATTAGAAAAGGTGTCGGGACTTTTTGAAAAAGAAAAGATTCCCAACTGTAGACCTTTAGAATTTTTAGCAAAAAGACATAAAAATCTTTACCACTTGTCATATTTCAGAATGGCCAGAAGTTTCTCGGTGAAACGTGTGCCTTTCTCAGGAATAGTTTAGACTTTTTGCTCCCAAGAATTTTTCTATTTAAGGAATGAGTTTCATTTGGTTTAGGCAGAAGTTTACGACCTGTATACTCTCTGCTATCTAAAAAACCCTTTGAAACCTCCCCTCCAGAAAAATTCTCAATCCAAAAAATATTGTATAGCTGAAACACTCTTGAGAATATTTAAGATATTCTTTTAATTTCTTAAGTTTATTTTAGAACTTTAGGGACTTTCCGAAAGGGAAATCCTTAGTTGTAAATCTTTTCAAAAGATGAATTTATAAATCCCTGATTTATGCTCTTTTATGTTAATGTTTATGTTTTTACGTAAATTTTGTTATGTTCATTTCATCCTATGCATATAATAAAAGCATAACTTGATTTCTAGAAGCCATACTATTTTTAGGTTAATCCTGAGTGACCCAGATAGGTGAAAACTTTTGGCCGGAGTGAGCCTCTTGATGTTTTCTAAAGATGCTGGGGAAAGGGAAAAAATTAATCTAAGAATTTTATAAGGGAGCGCCATGAGTAACCTTATAAAAAGGAACCAGGTTCAAGTTTATATGTCATAGGTGATGAAAATTTAAATGAAAAAAAAAGAAAAAAGAAAAAAAAAGGGATTTATATATGATTCTTAAGAAAGATTTATAGAAAACTAAAGAGAATACTGAATAGGATTAAAGTTATTAAAAGTTAAAAGTTTAAACAAAACAGCCCATTAAAACAGCCGGCTAAAACGGGGGTATGTATGTACATGGTGTCGGCGGATCCTCCAAGTGGATTGAAGAAAGGGGAGCCAAGTCACAGAACTGGATCCTTATGGACTCTTTGGGGAGGAGGCGTGTGATCTTCGAATTCTTGATCCTGTCGTCTTACCCTTCGAGTTCTACCATACTTGGCCAGGAGAAAGTTGTTGTTCTCTATTTAGAGGTTTACTAGTTTTTAAAAATTTTTCTATTTCTAGTTTGATTTCAATGTATTTGTTAATGCACAAGGTAGGGTTGGACATGGTCTGATTCCGTTCGGTTCTAAAGAGAATCAAATAGAACTCGAATATTCAGGTATTTAATACGTGGAACTGTCAGTTCCAAATTTAATGATGAAACGATTCGAGTTTGTTCCATTTGGTTCGATTTGATTTATTCCTGAGTTCCATATAGTAATTAATTTTTTTAATATTTGCAACTAATTTTTTTAATCTCAGCTTTTACAAAATAACGTAGTTAAATCTTATGCACCTTTTGCGTTACTCTTTATTGAGTAGTTTATAGATTTGATTGTTAAAATTACAGGAAGAAGAAAATAGCAAACTGACAATAATGAAAAGAGATGTAGCCGAGCATCCAATTCAAATTCTCCAAAACAATAGAAATGACATTACGATAGAATAATAGATTTTGGTAAAATTTAGGTCAATTTGATTATGTTGGGAAATTAAAAATAGGGAAATCGTATTTTAGGTATGGGCAAAATTAATTAGTTAGTATATTTATTTAGAAAAAAATAATTTGGCTTATTTAAGATAAAGAAATAAAAAAAAGGAAAATTTGGTTCTTATTCAGTACTTCGGACCAAGAACCGAACCATCGATTCTCGATTCAGATACCTATTCGGATATTTAATTTAAGAAGAACTGCTGAGTTCGGGTCTATTAGGTTTGATCGATTCGGTTCAAGAGTTTTCTCTAGCCTTAGTAAAAGAGGAGTATTGGAGTTCAAAATTAAGCGCCATTTTATTCACCTGAAGATTTAATTTTAAAGAGAAGAGATTGAATTTTTAAATCTATAGTTTAAAGCTTCTTCCGCTCATAAAATAGAAGATTCATTTATTTTATTTTATTTATGATTTTTAGTTCAGAATTGATCACATTCTTCTCATTTCGTTTTGGCACGTCTTTTGTATTGAATTTTATTAATTGTTATATATCCTCAGTTTTGTATCTGCATCATGGAATCACAGTTAAATTTGATTATAATGTTATTAATTTACATTTTTTTCTCATGCACGTGATTGTGTGTTAGTGCTGCATATCAATGCTATAAATACAGCCGAAGAAGTGCCTTTTTTCCCTCTCAGCATTTAGGCTTTTCTTCTCATTTTGTCCTTGATTTCTTATCCTATAATCTTCCGTAGCTGGTGAAAACACGTAATCTACTAGGTTCTAAGATAAAAATATTGATAAAAAGTGAAACCAATTCCAATTCAACTATTTAAATTAATAGGATAATATCATGGAAGTGATTGACAAGGGAAATGAGCCAGTTTGGAATATGTATCATTGGAATTTAATATGTTTCCTTGAATCCTCCTTCAAATTGATAAACAAGTGCAATATTTCTTATAATTCAAGTCTCAGCCTATGGGTTCAGTAATAGCAATATCAAAATGAAATTCGTATTTGTTCTTGTTTTTCGAGCAATATCAATAATTTTCTCTATTCATTTCTATCTTTTTCCACTTTTCTTTGCGAACAATTTGTGTTCATAACAGCCGAAGATCCTGACAGATTCCGCCTCAACTTATCAGTTTATTGGAAGTTAACATTGAATGATAATCATCATTTTAGAAAATGTGGCTTGTAGGCTTGGAACATCATCCTAAGGATTTCAATGGAAAATTAAGAACTGTTACCAGATTAGGGTACTTTTGGCAATTAAATATGGCATAATACAAAGATATAGAGTGTGTTCAACAGAGTAAGCGTAAAACAGAATAGTTGCATAAACTTACAAATCGTTTACTCTCTCTAACTAGGTATCGTCATTTTCACTGAGTAGTAGATAACAGGAAAGCAGAAGATGCAAATTGCACATTCTGTGATTGCAAGTTCTAGTGAATGTTGTAAAACAGTGTACAGCCCGGTCATGAAAGCAATTACCATCGCCCCCATGGCAACCATAACAAGCATTGTAGCAACACCCCACAACTTCCTAAGCTTTGAATCGTCAGTTTCAACGGCTGCAAAGAAGTGGAGAAAAATAGCAGAAGCAGAGCAAACCATAGCTAATGTGTCCGTTATAATGAAAGCTTTAAAAGCAGCCTTTCTTGATAAAATTGCGAGGCCTTTGTTCGGGCCATCATTTCCATCATACCCACCCGGAATGGTGAATCCGGCAGCAAATGCAACTGTTGTTATGAGAGCAGCCACTACAATATGTGTGTCGGCTACTTTTCTAATATCTATTGTAGCAATCTTTCTTAGTGTTTCAATGTTATCTTTTATAATCTGCGATCGCTGACTATTTAGACGAGTCGCTAAATTCCAAGCATCCCGTTCAGCACCTTTTGCTTTTAATTCCTTAGCTACGGCAAACTGCATTGTGTCAAACGAAGGAGTTGAATCAGAGACAAAAAGATATACTAGGAAAAAAAAAGAAAATAGAAAAATTATACATGAGAGGCATTGTTTGTGGTGACACGTCTGTGAGACATGGAATCTTCACTTCTCATATTTTCATTTTCCACCAAGACATGTTTGGTACACATAATATAAACAATATTTTAACTTATTTTTCTTCTTTAATACTGTCCTGAACTGTAATTTTTTCCTCCCAAAGCAAGTTAGTCCTAAAACCAATAAGAGGAAAAGAAGGAACTTTCCCTTTGTCGTTTCATTTTGAGCATCACTTATTTTAGAAAACTCATTAGTTCGAAGTAACACATTCCTTTAGCACCCCTCAAATTGTTTTTCCACATTGTATAGGATATATAAAGTGAAAGTTAAGTGGTTTCATTCAGAAAATAAAAAATGAAAAAACCTTAAAAATTTAAAGGAGATTCTCGATACCTTTCTCATTGAACGAAAATCAGAAAACTCTATGACATCTAGAGGCGTCATAAATTCCTTGTTCACAGAATTCTTCTCTGCTTGTGGATGGTTTACAAGATCACGGCCGTTGAAGTCGTAAGTTGCAGCATATAAGTGGAGGGGTGTGTTTCCCTCTTCATCTTTTTGGTTAAGGAGGTTGCCAACCCATGGTTTTTCCATGATAAATTTAAATGCTCGTTTTTGTTCGAATTTCACAGAAAGGTGTAGAATATTTTGGCCATCTCCAGTGACCATCACCCAGCAATCAGGACAATAGGCCAAAATCTCTTCCATTATCTCTACTTTCCCCTGACAAGTTGATATATGAAGAGCTGTCTTATTGTTATCGTTTTTTGCAACTATATATGCTATTGATTTATCAGCCTTTAATAGTTCTGCTGCTACTACATCGAATCCAAATCCACGTTGTGCAGCATAATGGAGAGCACTCCATCCACGATCATCTACTTCCGTTATTATATTTGGATGTTTTTTCAACAACTTTCTTGATATTTCTGCATTCTTCAAATTTTGAGTGAGCATTAGGCATTAGCTAGGCTGCAATAAAGCAGTTCTCATGCAGAAAAAGCATGTACTAGAAAGATGAACACAAAACATATACCGAAAGACTGTTAATTTTATGTTGATTCACGAGAATACCATAGAATTTGGCAACAGAGCTCATTGATTCACAATGAATACCAAGAATTGGAGAAAAAATAAACTCAAAGTCTACACAATAATCTATTTTGGCCAACTATCAAGTGATTGATTTATACAATGAAACCAAAATTCAAGTCATGGATGAAATGTCAAAATTCACGTAATAAAATCTTATGAAGAGAGAAATCTAAAAGTTACCATCAAAATAATTCCTAAATCAAGAAAAACTAATAAGAAGGTCTTTTTATGGAGATTGGAGTATTGATTAAGACTACACAAAAATTTCCCTTGAATATTAGAAAGGCCACATGTCATAGTCCAACTCTCTTTAGCCTACATTAAGCTCCAAGAGCATCTTCTTCTTAAAGAACACAAGAATTGCTACTAATGAAATTGAAGACTTACGTTTCTGATTATATAAAGCCGCAGCATGCAGAGCAGTTTTCCTATTTGGTCCAGTATAAGCTGGTGATGGGCAATTTTCCAATATGTAATTCACAGACATTATCTGGTTCTCATCACCTCGAACAATATCAACTGCAAGAAACAATGGAGTTTCCAGTGCATTATTCGCTATATTTGCAATTTCAGGGTCTTCTTTTGTCATCAAATTGACCATAGATGGACGATTATTCCTTATAGCCTCATGCAGTGCAGTGTCTCCATGTATATTTTTTTCAATGTTAGCAACCTTTTGAGTTTTTCGTCTACGCCTCCAGCTTCAAGCTCTCGATCAATTCTCTTCGCAAATTCCATCATCACTATCCCAACATTCTCCATGCCATTTCTTGTAGCAACGTGGAGCGCAGTCTCCCCATCTGAGTTCACTTCATGGAGTAAGGATCCATTTATCTTGAGTATTTCTGATGCGCATTCCTCGGAGCTGTTGAACTGGGCAGCAACGTGGAGTAAAGTATTCTTGTTTGGTGTCAATTGAGTGGTGCTGATAAGTTCCATCTTTTCTCTCATGGCATTTAGATTGCCCTCTTGTACAGCTTCATACAAATCAGGATCCATTAAGATTGTTCTCTCGTTTGATAGCACACAAATGCAAAGATTTTCACCACATTTCACAACAACAAAATTCGTTTATGAAGGATTGCAAGTGAACTTTGTGCATTTATAGACCGTCCTGCAGAATTATTAAGACTTTTACTTTTACTAATAATTATGAAAATGACAAGAGAAGGAATGAGTTGCACTTTATCTAATTTAGCATTTTTTAATATTATAATTTTATAAAATCGTCATTATTAAAGTCACACAAAATCCAAACGAAGAATCACAAAAACTGTCTTTACTAAAGGACTGGGGCCTAGGTGAGACAAAATCTGTCATTATCAAACGACTGTGGTCCAATTACTTGCAATACGTATATCATGTATAAAGTTTGAACCCCAGGTGTTCATTATTTATTATATTTTTAAATATTATTAGTGGGTACAAGTTATAATTTAACAATGTTGCTCGATTGAGACTTTTAGTTCAGTGCGAATTTTTTCAGATTTCGTATCTTTGAAAAATGTCATATTTAACCTTCGTTCACGGCATTAACCGATCACAGCCTATCCACATTCAAGTGCATTCGAGTGCCACACTCAACTGTCTACATACAATATTATTGTGCCCAACATAACATATTGACTCCAAGTACCAAGGAATAAAACCACCAAGTACTCTAGAGTACGCTTCTTTCAATAGTGATACTTGCATGCTCTCTCTTCAACCCATTTACTCAAGGCTTAGATTTGTAAAATCTTACTCGAACTCTAACAATTTACTTTCTCAACACAACCTCAAATTGGATTAAGCATTGGGTTGTGATCAATCATATTCATCTCCACATTTATGTTTCCAAGCAACGTGGATCTAGGAATTCGAGTGAGTTAGGGCAAATTCAAGTGAGGGCATGGCCATTCGAGCATCTGCCCAACATATATGCTCATTTTTTGACTCCCCTATGAGCAAAAATTTCATATTGAGTTCCAAAAAATTCTTTAGGTGCATTGGTTTGGTAAGAAAGAGGATAGAAAGAAAATGATAGCTGATAATATTAGATTTTTCATTGTTTTGTGAAAAAGAGGTGAAAATTGATTGAAAAATAATTTCCAATGCTTGTTTAATGAGACGGGAATGCATTTCATCTTAAATGAAGCATACTGAAGTGTTTATATAATATTTGTGAGAAATAGAATATCGCCTATTCCATAGATGGAACTCCCATATAGGGACATAAACAAAAACAAGGACAATTTGTTTGTTGGTATGGGAAAATAGAAGGGAATGTACTTTTCCATTCCAAGTCAAAGGAGAATTCTCTGCCATAGAAAAATACCCTTTGGTCATTTTAAAATCCTAATCCAAACAAAAGACTACTACAAAGGCCACCTAGTCCAACCAAATAAAAATAAGAATAACATTCACATGGGACTCTGGGACCCACAAAAGGAAAAGAAAAATTGAACCCCACAATTGGACATGGGAAAAGCAACAATAGTGCTTAGTAGAATAGATACTTTATTTGCCTTCTTTAAGAAGAAAAAATGAAACTGGAAGAGAAAGAAAGGGATAATAGTCCAAATGGTCGCTAAATTTTACAAAAGGCATGCAAGGGTTACTAAATTTTAAAAATCATGTTGTTCATTACTAAAGTTTGCATTTTGTAATCCTATTAGTAATTGATTTAACGGTCCGTCCAAAAATTGATGGAATGCAGACGTGCTAAATACGTTGCTTAATGTGTCAGTTGCGAGTGCCATGTCAAACAAGTACAACTAGGGATGTCAATTGGACCGAACCGACTCGGCTCGTGAAAAAGGGGCTGTGGGCGGCTCAGGCTCGTGAAATCACGAGCACGAGGCGAGCGGGCTTTGCCCGTAGACGAGCCGCTCGTGGGCGGCTCGTGGCTCGTCGAGCCTTGTTCAGTGACCAGAACGGTCACTGAACTTTTTTTTTTATTCCCCCCCCCCCCCAATTTTGGGAGATTTTTATAAATGGCCTGCTACTATTCATTTTTGGTAAAATGTCTATAATACCCTTAATGAAATTACTTATTATATTTTGCACAAGATATCCTTAATTTATTGGGATAGTTCCAAAATTCTTCTATTTCTCTCATTTCGGATTTTAATATAGAGTTTCATCCTTTGATCTAATAAATTAGCATAATCTGTAATATAATTGTCATGTAATTTACTAAGATTATCATATTCCTTAGATGAAACATCCATAGTTTCTAGTTGGGCAAAAATATTTCTTATTTTTTCTAATAATTTTTCTAACAGATTATCTAATCCTTTAATTGTATAACCTGGCATTCAGATAATTCCTTGCAAACTTTATGAATAATAATAACATGTTAGATAAGTTTTTTGCAAACATGAAAAATAATAATCCCTACGATTCTTTCAAGATATTAGAAGAGTTCTTTCTAAATTTAACAAAGACAATAATTTTACCTTACTTTTGATCTTAAATCTGTATTCTTAGAACCGAGTGACCTTCAGGCTCTGAATCTGCAAACTGCTCCCTCAAACGGCCTCTTGCCTTAATGGAAATTCTGCTATTTCAGCTTCTTGCCCTCACTGTATCTTTTGTTAGAATTAAGAATAAAGATTCTTAAGTAAAGAAAATTCTCTCTTTGTTAAAGTAAGAAAGAAACTATCTTCTTCAATCTATCAAGAATCTATGGGATAGGAGGTTTAGAAACTCATATTTTTCTGATATCAAAAGATTGAAATTTTATTTCTATAGTGATTTATACAAGGTTTCTATTGTATACAAGGGGTTTCCAGAAAAACTGGTTTTGAAGAAAGCTTAAGGAAAGAGAATGGTTTTCAATTCGAGATGATCCATTCTTTCCCAAATACCTCTATTTATACATGACTCAAACTTACTATTATTGATATATTACATCATTGCATACATCAGAATTTTGAAAAAAAGGCTCACATGCCTCTCTATTCTTTTCCTCCTAGGGTCTACATTTTCACATGCATTCTTTGCCTTTTCATCTTTGGCTTCATATGCAGCTGGCTAGATGCTTTTCTATTATTGCTTTTCCATCTTTGGATTCATATGCAGCTGGCTAGATGCTTTGGTAGTGGTAGGTCCTTTTTCATCCATCAATCTTTCAATTTTGTCTACATGTGGGGCACTCCCTCAATCTGCATGATTCTTGGATTGTTGTTGGACTTCCACTAATTTGATGGGTATCAAATTTCTGGATATATTCTTTCAAGATGGTAGATTTTTCTTTTCCATTATTTGTAAGGAGTGTCCATCCTTCATATTGGCACAAGCATCTGAATTTTTTATCATATAAGTTCTTTGCAATGTTGTAAAGAACTTTCATCCCCAAAACTCTCCGAGATTTAATCCATGATTTATTGATTTTAGGTAATGGTTTATTATTTCGGCCAACTTCAATCTGGAAATCTCGGCCAACATATCCAATTGTAATAATATGTTCAGCAGGATAGTATATCCTTCCATCAACTTCGGGACTTATTGAATAAAATTTAATATAAATCGATCTTCCTTGGGCAAATTTTGAAACTTCTGCCCTGAATATATCATCAAAATTTTCAATTTCTTTTAAATCTTTTCCTGGATAGATCAAATCCAGAAATCCATAATCTGCTGCCATCTTGACCATGAAAGGGTCTGCATCTTTGGTAATTATTAATCTGGGATAAACATGATCTCCTGATGCAATAAAATAAGATTCATTTTCTTCCAATTCATAGACAATCTTGGCAAATGATCTATATTCTTCTTCTTTTGATGATAAAGGGGTATCATCATCTTCATCAGTTTTGATTCTTATAACTCTTGTATGTTCATCACCATTTTTTATAGTCACCTTCCGGGGACTTGCTATATCTCGTTTGATATTGCTGGGTCCACTGCTG